GGAGGGAAAAATCCCAACACCCAAACCAAAAACCTGAATAGAAACACTGGCCATAAGGACTGTCCTAAACCAACTCCTTGTGTGGAGGAAGCAGAGGAAGGCTTATTCTGCCGTTTCTGCTTGGATAACCCTCTCCACAGCCAGTTTTCTCTCCTGCAGTGCCACCCAGAGAGCTCTGCTGCACAGAAACTATTCCACAGAGGCACATGAAACAAGAACCAGGATTTTCCTCTTCCCTGCCTTTAGATGCCATGCAAGCATTAAGCTGCACATAGGGGCATGTTCAGAGCCTGAACATGCCTCTGCCTCGGTCTGTGTTGCTCAGGCCCCTCTGCACTTGTAGTTTCCGCTGCTCCTTGCACATCACATCAAGGATGCTGTGTTAGCAGGGAGGCGAGAGAGAGCAGAGGGTGTTACCCATAGCTGCTGGGCCTTCTAGGTCTTACACGGGGGATGTCCAACAGCCAGGTAGCATGTGGAATCACGAGCACAATGTTCAGACAGGGGTTTTGCTATGAGCTTCCTATAGGTGCAAAGGATCATTTGCTGCCTGCCAAGCTCAAGTGAGGTTACAGGTGGAATAATAATGATTTTTCTTTCAAGGGAAAGCGTTAACGAGATGGCAATTGTAGCTCTTATTCCCTGTGTTGTAAACAGATCTTGGTACCGATGGAATCAACCTACCTACCTCCACTGAGATGACCCCTCCATCATGTGTAAAAGGAGCTCTGACTTCTAGCTATGGACCAACTTCTCTAGGAACAATGCTTGGGGCAACATCTGGCATTCAAGTGCCTTCAAAATGCTGCCAAATGAAGGTCTTGTTTAAGGGGAGCCATAGCAGCAGAACTCGCCAGGGACTCAAACTGCAGCTGACCTTCCCCAAGGATTCTCAACGCCAACAGTGACATTATAATACTCTTCCAGGCATTCACTTCAAGAATGAGCCCTTGCTTAGCACTATTAGCATGAAACACTGCCCTCTGCTTGCAAATCTCTGCATTCACACTGGATTGCCTGGCAATCTCTAATCTGGAAGGATTTCTATGTCAGGACCCTCTTCTCCCCTCACTCATTTCAGAGCTTCCCATAAAAGAAGGGTCTAGCATGCTGTTACTGTCACGCACACATACCATAAACCCCCAAACTGAGCCGAGGTTACCCAGTTCATTTCACCAGAGACCAGTGTCCAGACGTGAGCCTTGGTTTTCAACAGACTTCCAAGGTCGAGGGCACTGTGCTTTATCCACCACCAAACTTGCTTTGCTTTGAGCCATTCTGCTCTGTTTCTAAAGGTGCTTTTTTTTTTTTTGCCTTTTTTTTTTTTTAATTAAGTATTTTAGAACCTTCTTATTTTTTTCCTTTTAAAAAAATCGTTGTCTTTTGCAAAATTTGTGTCCAGGTCTTGTTATTGTTCACAGCTGGCCTCACTGCCCCACTGGAGGACGTCACTGTTTGAAAACCTTGGGTGAACACAAAAGCAGTTTGTGTTGGTTTGATGGGACAAGGATTAGTCTTGACCTTCCCTTCTTTCTGATATTCATCCTTTGGGTTTTATCTGATACCCAACGAAAATGGCCTCTCTGGAGTAGAGGTGTGCATGTGTTCTAGTCTTTCCTGAATTGTAAGTAATGTAGCTTGCCTGTTCTCTGCAGCATGCTCTTCTGTTCCTGGGAGGACAAGTTGTATTGCTCAGGTGTGAATCTTGAGGTTTGTGTGTGTTAAGTGTTTCTTAGTTTCACGAGATGCCAAAGTGTAGGGAAAAAAAAAAACTTCAGCTTTCACAGAATATCCCTGGGGAAATTACCGTTACTTTGCAAGTCTCCACTTGAAAAGAGGTAGATATTTAATTTTGTTAAAAGTAGACTTGGGTAATACAGATTCCTGGTCAGGTTGTGAATGGGTACAAGTAATTAATTCAGTGGAACTAGAGTAAATGAGGATCTGGTTCACAGATTGTAAATAGATATTTTTGAGTAGCAGTCTTTTTTTTTTCCGATGGCTCTTTTTTTTGGGTAAATGTGAGCTTTTTTTTTTTTTGTAAGTAAAAATTATCCTTTGTCACTTTTCAGGAAAAAAATATTTGATTTGGTTGTTTCTTATCCTACTCCTCCAGTCCTGAGTGATGAATTCTTCCTACAGGGACTCTGTGACCTTAAGAGTTTCTCAGCTACCTTTACACAAATTATTGGGCCCTACATGCACCTTGTATATTGAACTGCATTTGTTGCTTTGAGCAAGGTTTTGCTACAGAAGTAGACAGGGATAATAATGAGAAGACCGGAAAAGATAAGGTAACATTTCTTGAAAAATCAAAAATGAGAAAAATATTTCCTTTTTTAAAATGCTAAAGTATTTTTTTTTTCAAAATGTTTTAACACAAGAAAGGGAGAAACTGTATTTCTGTTTCCTGGATTCCCCACCACCACTCTTTTACCTCTAACTGAAACACTTTCATCATATCTGTTTTCCAGTGGAAACATTAAAATTAAATGAAACTTTTTATTTTTTTCCAACAAAATCTGTTGTGATTTAAAAAACACATTTTACGTTGGGAAAGCAAGAAATGTAGATGGGAAGTATTAAGCTCCTGACTGCTATGGCTCTTCTTTCTGCCACTGATTAAATTTTCTTACGAGCTTGGAGGGTTGATTTCAATCCTTGTTCTCTATTGCGTTCTAACTAGGGAGATGTGGAATGGATTATTTGAATGAACTCATCCTGAAGCCAAGCTGTGACAGGTTTGGTACAGCTGCATGAGTGGGTTTTCTTGCAGAATTAGGGTTCCCATTACTGTCTCTACCAAGGACTTCCCTGCCAGAACCATCTTCTACAGCTAGAGTGAAAGGAATTAAACGTGACAGCCTTTTCTGTGGTGTGCCTTAATCACAGGGTTCTTCAGGAAAACCCAAATTCTCCTCCAGCCAAGGAAATGGTGCAACAACAGTGTTTCAAAACGACTGTGCGACAACGGTGTTTATCACCCAAACATGCCCTCGCTGTGCCAAGTCAGCCCTGCCATTCGCCTCCGTGGGATTTCTGACAGCGGTGGGCTCTCAGGATGAGCTAAGGCAAGCTCTGCAGGCAGAGCAATACCTGCTCAGCTCCCCTCCAGCGCTGGCTCTGTCCCGCTGGAAACGCCTGCGGGATTGCTGCCGAGTGCGAACAGGGGAAGGTCTCTAGAAATGGATGCACTGACGCAAGCACAGCCGGGGACTGGTAACAGTCCTTAATCGCACGCAAGATCTTTGTCACTGGATAGAGAATTGGGGTTGATACTGTAAGTATTTTCCCTGATTTGCTTCCATTAATTTCACACAAGCAGCTGACTTCAGCTGACTGGGAGGCTGGTGGGACTAAAGGATCGGTACTGAAATGGTGCAGGGTAGGAGAAACAGGAATGAGCAACTAAGCAGACATTAGTTCTGCTGTTTATCTAAAACATGCCAGTGTTTTGTGGGAAAGAAACCTTTCCAGGGTTGCATTTCTCTCCTATCTGGTCTAAAAGAATAGAGAAAAGTATGCTTTTACATGAAAATTTGATTTCTGTCATAGTTTAAAAAAAACTCCATCCAGAAAACAAAACACTGAACTGTACTCATGTGCAGATAGTGTGTGGGAGGAGAATTTTCCTCTCCTGTCCCTGGCCGGGATGGCACAAACCCTACAGCGTGCTAAGATGAGCCAATGCACATCGACAAGTCACTCCGACCTGCCACGGCTGATCCCTGCAAGGTGCATTGCTGTGGCTCATGCCCTTGGAGAAGAGATACTGTAAATCCTAAGGGAGAGGTGTAGGTGATAACCGGCAAATTCCTAACTCCGTCCCTCAAGGGGCTGCCTTTCCTCTCAGGCCTTTCACTGGAACACCTCACTGGAGCTCCTGGGAAGGCTGGCCAACACTGAGAAGAGGATGAAACGATCTTTTTTCATGGCAGCCGGAGAAGTGATTTGCATATGACTGTTCACTGAGCGTGCTGCCACGCTATGAATAAAGTCAGCGAGGTTTGGATTCTGACCAAACAACAGCCCTGGCCAGGGATGAAAAAGAGGAGCGGCTGGCTCTCACCCAGTAATTATCAAGACCCCTTAAGAAGCTTCCAGCTTTTTAAGCAATAATTTTACAATCCTTATTCAAAGCCAGTGCCACATGAAAAAGATGTTCAAGTGGCATGAAGGGATCTTGCTTCAGCCTCTCCCTCCTAAGATGCAGACCTTCTTAAAATTAATACTCTAGATAATGGAAACAAGTGCAGCACAGGATGGCATGCTGCTAAGGCAATGACTCTCTCTTCTTCTTTCTTTTTTCTTTCCCTCTTTTAAAATTTTTCCTATTATGAATATTTAAGATTAGCAGGAAGAATGAATTCAAACCACCGATCTGTACCTTTGGGAAACCCTACCTTATTTTACTTCCTGCCCAACCTTGCACAAATTACTTAATCCCCAACAGGTGATGGTGACGATAATCTCTCCCTTCTCCCACCTGTGCGAAGTAGCATAGCTCATGAATGATGAACCTTACAGCTGATTCTGCTGCTAGCCAGCATAGAAGACAGCATAGGATCATTGAATGGTTTGGGTTGGAAGGGACCTTTGAGATCATCCAGTCCCACCCCCTGCCATGGGCAGAGACACCTTCCACTAGACCAGGTTGCTCCAAGCCTCATCCAGCCTGGCCTTGGACACTTCCAGGGATGGGGCATCCACAGCTTAATATCTATTACAATGACCCTTGGTGAAGTTCTAGTTTCCAGCTTATTTCTATTGTGAAAAAATACCATTGTTTCATAGGTTATAAGCCATGGTTTAAAAGCTCAGAGATGGCCGTTCTAGTTGCTTTCGTAACCCTAGCCTGCACATTTTACCCAGTAATTCCTGCACTAATCCTATACCTGGTAGCTGAGCCGCAAATTGGCTACTGATTTCAGTCAGTTAATGATCTGCTTAAACACTTGGTAAAGGATCCCAGAGGTTCCCTCTGTCAAAAGAGACCAAAAATAAAGTTGGGAAAGGCAGCTTACTGTTTACAATAATATATTTACAAGTTACTGTACATAAATACATTTATAGTATAGTCAAGATACATCAAGATCAAAATCTGGGCTCTTAACTGACAAGGACGATTCCATAAGGACTATTCAATTTAATTTTCAGATATTTCTCTAAGTAATTTGCTCCCACAAAAGCAGCATTGCATAAATTTTGGAATAATATTTCTGAAAGCTGGGAGGGAAATTACAAATGTATTAAATGCTGAATAATGGTATCTGCACCTGAGTATTGCAGCTGAGATCTAAGCCAAGCTGTTGTGTAAACACATCACCAGAGTTGATCTCCACTGAAAAGTTTATAAATGCAATAACAAATCTCTCAGATTTATTGATAAATTGGTCCTGAACAAGAAGACAAACACTAGCAGGTTGCTTGTTTCACAGAAAGCTACAGTTAGAAGGGCAAGGTCTTCATTCCCATCTTCTAGAAATAATTCCAGTGTCACAGGAGCATCTAAGGGATTAAAAATACACAGAGCAGGAAATTCCAGCTTTCCAAGACTAGGAGTCACTTCCCACTGCCATAGATAAACAACGCGGGGAACGACTGCTCACAAGAAGATGTGCCTCGCAGTGGCGGTAAGAACGCACATAATCTCCCGAACAACCTGATCTGCTACCACAGCAGCCCCCGTGCCTAAGA